AAATATTTATGTTAAAAGCAAAATGACAATGTAATGATGCTCGGGAGGGTGAAGATTCTTTTATTTGAAAATGTTTGTAAAAATTTTGTTTAATTAACTCTAATGTGTAAAACCAAATAAAATGTATAAGTATTTTAACTGATAACATCTTCAACCTTTGCTCCAACATTACATTTGATGACAGCTTTATAGTTGGACTGTTGTTTTGAACAGAGTTACGGAGTCAATATACAGAAATACAGAAATACAGGACCAGGATTTAATTCAATATCTCCTGAGAACTGTCCAATAGGTTCCTAATTTGATATTGTTAATTGGCAATATTGCCTGCTATGTTTTCACTGTTTAAAATATTACAGAAGTCACAGAAGGATTGTTTTTAATACTGTATAAATCTTTTTGTGAACTACGGTATATTGACAAATGCCTTAAAATATCCTCGAAAATATCCAATATTTTATACAGTGTAATATATTAATAAAAAAAATCCAGAGTGCATTCCATGTAAACTCTACGCCGAAGATACGGCAATATTAACTATAGATAGTATAGTAAATATTTGCGGAACTGGCGAACTCATGTATTATAAAATATGCGGGACATATATTTGCACAAACTTGGTATTTAAATATATAATGTGTGGTATTTGGCTACTTACCAGATGAGGATAAGATTCCATGTTGATAAATAACTTCGGAATAATATAGCAAGTAGAATGGCGAGAAAACAAGACAGCCAATTCAAGATAAATTGATAAAAATATCAAGATATTTTTGAAAGAATATAAAACACGATTTATACACGAGGCCTGACGAGGCTAAAGTATGCCCGTTCGCAGGTTAGATCAGCGGGCACGATGTAAACAATTGATGTAAACGAATCGCTGTTGGCTTAAATTGGCATAAAATGGCTTAAAATATATATATAAGCTCGCCGCTGAATGGCTATGTGTTAACATACGGTACGTTACGGTCACGTTTGCGATAGCAATATATATCTGCTTCGCAGATACAAAAACCATGGCCAGGACCAGAACTTTGTCCTTATCAGAGAGATAGAATATAAAGTTTACTTATTGAATAGCATAGGAAGAAATTTGGACTACACAAGATAAATTTACACTATTAACACTTTATTATGACGTTTAAGTGGGGCCCCTTTTACACGAGCCCGGGTTGATTTTCAACCCGGGTCAGCACGTCACAGGCGGTTATTTTTTTATTCTGTTTACATGAACCCGGGTTGACGGCAATTTTTGCCAACCCGGGTCAGCGATTCTCAACCCGGGCTGACTCGAGTAATATTCCCAGCAACAGACTGGAGCAGAGTGTATTTTGTATCCCTTATAGAGCTCATACGATCATATTCCTTTTAGTTTTGGCTCTTATATCTTTCAGTATACGATTATATCCCTTTTTATCAGGGATTTAACCGTATAGCAACTTAATTCTGCCTTAAAGACGTTTTCTTTCTCTTTTGATAGCTCCTCAAATATTCGGAATCGAACGCCAACGCCATACCTTCGCGCAACTTTGAATACATTGCGACAACATCGGAGTTGAAATCTATATTTTTATAATCCATCTAAGCTCCGTCTTATAATCCTTCAGAGATGTCTGTACTATTAAAATATCGTGCAAGAATAAACGGACGAAAAGAAATATCGAGCAAGACTTTCGAGTGGTAATCCTCATTTGCTATTCGGTGCATTTCCGCGTGTAGCCCAGGGCCGCGTGTAGCCCTAGCTGGGGGCTGCAAGGTCCAGGAAATGGCATTTCAGAGACTCTAAATTTAAAAATTTCCTCGGGCCTTCGGCCCTCGCTTTCAGCCCCCCCAATCAAAAAGAGCTTCCTAAAGCCCTGTAGCCTAAATAATGGGAGGACCAGTATCATTCCAAAAATGGTTGTTCTTTATTAGTTTCTTTACCCCGACTCCTATGATGAACATGTACGTAAAAAAACTAGGAAAACTACGATTAAATCACGGCCGTAGAAACTAAAATAGGTGAAATTTTTATGGGACACGATCAAAGGCGAGGATATAAGAGCTAGAGATTGTAATTGCATGAGTAGGAATAGCGTACAAGGGTATGCATTTCGACCTAACAGTTTTCTTCAGTAGGGTTTTTTAAGAGGGGAGGGGTGTAGATATAATTTGAAGAGGAGAAGGAAGGAGAGTTTATAGGAGTTCGGAAAATAATGTGAGACAAAGAGGAAAACAAATCATTACAAAATAACTGAAAATAACCAATTACACAGTGAAAGGATGTAACGACTATACATGTTATTAGTCAAGTTATCCTACCAAAGGTCTTGTTGTTTGCGGGACATTCCAACACTACGCACTTTATTGTTCATCGTTCGTATTGGTGAAGTGAAGCAAATTTGCAGGTCCTTCAATTAAGGGTTAACTTACTCAATGGTATAGTGAGTTATTGTGATGGTAAGGGTGATCATGTGACTGTAGGTGATTGCATCCAAATATGGTGTTAGTGGTGTAGGAGCTTATAAGATATATGCGTTTGGCAATTAGTGATACATAAGGGATAAAAATAATGATAACACCGTGTATGGTTTGATTTTTGTTTAAAATATATGAGTACTGGTGTAAGTGACAGTGGTGTAAGAGTACTGGTGTACGTAATAATTAAAACATGTACATAATTATATAACAAAACCAAAACAGATATTAGTAAATGAATGATACGATATGACCAATAGATAGCTATAGCTAGTTCTGATGTGGATTTTGCTACGATCAAAGTTCACATTATTTTCCGACGCCCTAAACTCTCCTTTCTTCTCCTCTGCAAATTCTATATACCCCCCTTAAAAAAACATGCTGAAGAAGACTGTTTGGTCGAAACGCGTGTAGGGTTGCCTTTCCTACTCAATTTCAATCTCTCACTCTTATATCCTCACCTTTTGTGGAGTCCCATAAACATTTCACCTACTTTACCTCGTAGTTTCCCTAGTTTTTTTACGTACATGTTCATCATAGGAGTCGGAGTAAAGAAATGGAGAACAACCATTTTTTGAATACTGGTCCTCTCATTATTTAAGCTACACAATGTCTTACACCAGTACTTGTCCAATTACCTATTATATACCGAAAAATGTAAAAACAAAAAACTAAAAAATTATGTATATACATGCATACAAAAAAATATCGTGCAAGTCCTCTGACTGACAAAAAAAAATCGAACAGTGTCAGGAGGCGGAAAAAAAATATCGAGCAAACTGAAAATCTACCCACCCCCCCCCCATCAAAAATCAAATGGTCCGTCCCTAATTTACATAGATGTTTATATTTGTTTTTCGTTGCGTAGTCTCTATATATTGAATGTATTTGCTAACTTGCATGTTAAAATTTTGTTAGAAGCTTTTTATCCCTTTTAAAGCGAATATTTTGCTGCTTTCTAGTTTATTTACTGCATTGTACCTTTTATGACCCATCTCGTTTTTGTTATGCCCCCCAACATGACATATAGAGATATAAAAGAATATAGATATTAGAATAGAGGGTAGTCTGAATTTTGGACGGTACTCGATATCGTTGAGATGACTCAACGATCGAGTGACCGTCTAAAGAGTCAGGCTAATTAGAGTAATAGATGGAGAATTGCGAGTAAATTCAGTCGAACGAACATTTTGAAGCTTCCTAGTGCATGTGCAAGTTCATATGCAAAAGCAAAGAAAAGAAGTTCAGTGTTTTCAATTCAAAAACGAAGAAAAGTTAGTGTTTCAAAAGTTGGCTTCAATTCATGTGCCTTCAAGTACTGAATCGACCACTTCAGCTACGCTGTACTTAATGTCGTGTGAACGACCACTTCAGCTACGCTCTACTTAATATTGTGTTTAAATAAAAGCTTATTATTATTATTATTATAATCCTGATTCTATGGGCAATCTTTTAACTGTTTTACTTGTGGAAAACGTGAGGAAATATTATGGAAAATGACGTGCCGAAGGCCATGCAAGTTAAACATTTATATACTGTTCCAAAACTTGTCTTGTACTAAAGTCTAGGTATATTCTTGTTGATTTTAAGTTTTTAGTCCTTGCTTTAACTACGCTAAAACTGGAAAAAATCGATGTTTTCAAAGTAGTAGTATTATTGGCCGTCTGAGGACGAGATTTCACATCAGAGAGCGTAAATTGCCCCATCTTCGTACCCAGGATCTTTTCGCGGTACCATGCAGTTGCCTCGTACCCAGGCGTCTCTTCAGTAAAAAACTGCGATGTGCGTATGACTAGTTTACATGAAGTATTGTAGTGGCGAGAGAAGGGCGAAGGGCTGATGGGACCCTTCCCAACAGCACCTTCGCGCCTTGCCCGCCTGAAAAGGCCCTGAATACTTCATGTATTATATTTAAAGCCCCTGGGTACGAGGCAGTGGTACGAGGTTGAAATTTCCCCCAGGAAGCTCAATTATTTGTCCCTCGATTTCTCTCGTAATGCCCACTCTATTCTTTTTTAATGTATTAAATATCTATATATGGTATATATGAACTGATATTCGCGAGTAGCTGAACCAATCATATTGTAGAATAACTCGTATACGGTGGACTCTATGCGGTGGATGGCCATATAAATTGCGGAATAAATCCGCAAACTTGAAATTACAGTTTGGGAGCACACTCAGCACAGAGTAAGTACTCTTGTTGCAAGTTTGTAATTCATATACCTGTGGAGTGGCTGTGCAATGTTTTCCGATGTTTTCTTAGCACGCTCTTGAATCTATTTTGCATAATTTTTCATTCAGTTTCTTTATTAGCCCGACGTGCTCTTAAAAAGCTTGAATATATCGGCTCGTTTGAAAGATGAAGTATTGCATGAATGTGTGTGGGCAAACACTGTGAAATATGTTATAAAGTTTACAAGTTTCATTTTAATAGATGCAGATTGCAGTGTTTATTCCCCTGCTGCGTAGCATTTGCGTGTTTTCCATATTAAAACATACACGACATATCCTATTATAATGACCCCATGTGGCTGGCAGACGGTTCTCATGTTGCATGCTGCAGCCAAATTAAAACAGCGGATATACGGCATGTTGGCCGACAGAGACAATCTAACCACTTGATTCAAATATCTCGCAAAGAAAAGCGGGTACTTTACAGTTGCTGTAACCTTAATTAAAGAAGATATTTCGACGAAAATTTCGTCTGCTGATGAAAATAATGGGAAACACAATCGCAATAAGGTTTCTATATCTTTTTTTTGAATTATAGTTGTGTATAAAGTCGTTTATATATTCTCGAAGTCAGCTGTATTCACAATCTAGTGAATCATGACATAACTCATAAGCACTTTAATATAGGTATATACTCTATAGAACAATTATGAATATATCTCACAGCAACATGACATGTTTAGCTAAATATCTTATTTTTCAACATACGTTATCTTAGCATTAGCTCGTATTTAGCCGAAGGCTATGATATGTAAACACTTCGCGCGAATTTTGGAATGAAATTACAGTTCTGACATATATTTCTTGTGCCTGTTGAGTGTGGCAATAAATCCAACACAACAGTATATATTGTATTATTAAGATGTCCAATATTTCTCTGTAGTAATTACAGAATCTTCCCTTTAAAACTGGTTCAAATAGAAATTTAGAGTTGGTTTACGAAGTGAAACTATCATCCCACGCCAACGTCGATTCAATAATCAATATTATTTATATACTTTCTATATACGATATACTGTACTATAGTTTATACACTATTTACTATTATTTTCACCGCGCTAACTCATAATTTTAGGCAACATCACATTTAAGTAATATATTTAAGTAGTGTTTTTCATTTCACATTTGAGTAAAGTCTACGGGTAAGTACTTTATTGGTTCGATATTTCTAGGTCATCCTTCGTGTCAGACTTTTTTTCTAGATTATACTTTTACTTAGTATTGAAAGGACATAAACACTCAACGAAATATTTCATGAATTTCAAAATTTCAAGATGTAAATTTCGAAGGGAGGTTTAAACTGCATTTCTATGTGTAAAAACGTTTGCACCCCGACAGAACGTCGTCAGTGCAGAAGACTATTAAAAATATAGACTACAATAAATCAAACTGTCTTGTCTTCCTTTATCGGTATGAACCACTATAGAGTATAGTTGTTAGCAAACGGAATTTAACGATCAATTGAAGTGTGAAAGTACTGCCTACACTAAACGGTCGATAAACTTTCCAGACCGACAGACCGTAGTTTGTCAATTGTCATGTTTATTTATTTCATCTTGACAAGAGTCAAAACAATCGTGTTTTGAAATCGCCAATACGCCGCCACGTATATTGAACGACAGTCTGTGAATTGATCATCATCATTGTCATCATAAATGCCTCCGATCCGCTCTTACATTGAACATGACAATGTGATTTTTTAAATTTAGCGTCAAACTTGGTTGGATCAGTCGTATTAATAAAAAAAGTTTGATTGAAATAAAAAGTGTGACACCCTCGGTGAAACCTGGCTATACATAAGCAATTTTTAGCAGTTATAATCTTGTGGAATGCATCATTAGCATTGCCTATGTACACTGAGTCTGACCATCATGCACATATTGCATGACCATCGAGTATTATAGAATTTTATTATAAAATTTAAAAATTTTTAGTTTTATACGATATATTCAGGGCGGTCCATTTTTTATTATACATGGGCAAATACAAGAATACAAATTTATACTGCTGCCTCCACCGCTCCACGGAATTTACAACGGACAGAAGCGCTGAAACTAACACGATAACGGTTTTTCAATTCAAAATTTTGTATATATGGCATTCATAAGGAGAGCACCCACTCAGTTGGTGGTATCAATATACTGTGTCTGTATAGTGTGTATACCCCCAAGGGGCATTGTATACTTTGGAGGCGTTGACTGCCTTTGACGCAAAGATAACCTGAACTGCAGATGTCGACGACAATCCTGAAATAATTTAACTACAGCCATATTATTCATTATTCTTGCCATTGCATTTGTTTGTCTATATTCTCTCTCGCCTAATAAACATTCTAAATTAATTGGGTACAACAACTCGTGACGATGGAAGTGTCGTCGTCTGTGCTTACCGAATACCGTTACAAGTGTGAATCATATAACGATTAACGTGTGCGTGTTTGTCATGATTCATTTGATGGTAGAAAATGGTCTCTGTATTTGACTCCCTGAAGCTAAAACTTCCACTTTTCCGGAAAGCTGGAATGGTACAGTCTTCACGACTCGTACACTTTTAATTTAAAACAAGGCTCTCTCTCCCTAGCAAAGTCAAAGAAGACGGGTTGGCTAGCTATATATCAATTTTATTCAAAGGGGGACAATCAATGGTATACTCCCTATCATTTAAGCATTCCAGCACATCATTTACATTACAACCACGACACTTATAATGCGAATTCGTTGCCCAATGCAGTTCTTGTGACTTGTTGAAAAGCCGAATAAGTACTAGTGCATGTAGTAGTGTCGTAGTGAGTGGAAAATAAAGGGTAGTTCCTCGGGTAGAGGAGAAGTGATCACGTGATCGGCTAGTTGTGTTGTTTGTGGCGTCAGATATAACCAAATCCCTATCTCTAAGCCTAATCCTTACCCTCACCCTAACCCTTACCCTAACCCTTACCCTAACCTCAAAACTAATCGCTATAACTAACTGATGACGTAGTCTGTGATGCAAATTCTTCTACCCGAGGATGTACCCCATCTCCCGCTATGATTAGGCTTACCCTCTTCGCAATCACAACTAGGAAATGCGTGTTTATAATAATCATTTAGTAATTGGCCTGGGAAGTTCATGTAATATACCCTTCCGGAACGTACGTCACGTAGAATATAGAGATTCGCAGTGGTAGTAACGAAGTAAATGTACTTCGTTACCGTACTTGAGTACTATTTTTGAGAAGTGAGCATGTAACAAAGTAAACTTTTTCTGGAGTACTTTTACTTGGAACGAAGTCGTTTTAAGAAGTAACATTTTACAATTGTTATTTTCATTTTGTGGCGAAGTATTTCGTTACTTTCTAACTTGTTTAATCTTACGTGATTTATTCCTGATTTATTTTAATTTTGGAATAGGTATAATAGGACCTCTACATGCGTTTGGGATCACTCGTTTGTGGCTTATTTATAAACATTATTTATTTAATGGGTTTCTTATATCTTCAACGGAGTCTGGAAAGTAGACCGTGCCGTGAAATATTGTATACTAGGTGCACGCATATAATGGGTGTGCTGTTTTGTGTCTTTTGTATGTCAACTATGCATTGGACAAGTCCCCCTTACCTACACGCTACAGACAGTACTTTTACTTCAAGTATTTTTAATTAAAGGATACTTTGTACTTTTTACTTAAGTACGTTTTGCCTCCAGTATTTTTTACTCTTACTCAAGTCGTTTTATTGTTAATTACTGTTACTCCAGTACAAATTCAAAGTAATTTAGGCACCACTGGAGACTCGTTTCTGTGTATGTGACGTTAGCCAAATCCAAATGTCTGAGTCATGAAGACGAGGCTCTATAGTCAAGTTGACGTATTTTCCGGAAGCGCGAATTTCATACTCACGTAGTATTAGTTATATTCATGGTTGTACCCAACAATTTAAAATATGGGTCTACCAGCTGAGGTATTCATTCATGTTCGTATTGTAACATATTTTCACTTATGCTATATATTAGGTAGATTTCCTCATTTAACTTACTGGTCACGGTTTTATTATGGAGGTAATGTGCAAAGTTCCTTCGGTATTTTTTGTATTTTGTCTTTTCGTTAAGAATCCCACAGGCTTCAGAGAGTTTTCCAGCTAGGGTTTCTAGCTAGGATGATACCACTGATAGTAAAGCGACTTTGGCTCTGAAAACTTTGAAAATTATTTACTCTCAAACCGATTAGAGTCTTGCCCGACAGCTTGTACAGTAGAAAGTTTTCCACTAAATATATTTTTGTTAGGTTTTTATATGTATATGACTACTGCTCCCCGCACCCGAGCTATGTGGAGGGTATTTCTAACATTTGTTCCTCCAGTACAAATGAAATGAGACCTCCATAAATTTGACACATTTGCTTCAATACACTCTTTCGATAATTACATCACACATACTTTTTATCCTGGAGCCTCTCTCTCATCAGTAAATTACGCAACGTGATCGGCTCACGATTCATGAGAGCGAGGCTCCCAGGGCAAATGACGTAATTATCGAAAGGGTGTATTGCACAGCCAGACGGTCCATAATCCTACAAACCAGCCTCAATGTTGTTTCGTTCACAGTATTGTCTTGCCAGATTTCCAGCTATTATGTACTATTTAAAACATGAGCAACAGTGTTTTATCAGATATAAATTATAAAGGTACGAGGCGAAGCCGAGTATCTTTAGGTCTGATAAAACACGCACTGCGAATGTTTTAAATTGCTTCAAAAACGAAGTAAGTTCATTGGCGAAGTAATTTTCAAAAAATACGTTGTGTAAGTCGAGAAAATCAAAGTTAAAGTTTATGTAAATCAAGGGAAATCTCTATCACTTATAAAGATACGACGTGACACGCTTATGATTTTTCTTTGTGTTTTCCTCATGAATTATTAATGAGTTTTTGAAAGTTATATAAAAAAATTTTATAGTTACATTTTTCAGTTTTCTTCCGGCTGCAAGTTCATCATAAGGACACGAAACTTTATAATAAATAAATCTTTAAATAAAATTTTATTGCAGTGTCATTTACGGGTGGATTATTGTTTGGTGTCGCTTCGTATAGAAAATCATGTTTGGAGAAAATTATGCAGCTGGAAAATTCCGTCTTAGCTGACCAAGTTCGTGAATACTATAGAAGGTGATGAGTTTATTCAATACTTTTCCTGAAGTCTGTTAGTGACTTTAAGTGGAGATTTCTTATATTGTTATATTGCGTAATACGCGCTCAAAACTAATGAGTATGTTTTTTTATTTCCGGTGTTATCAAGCCTGAAAAAAGGCGGCCGGTCACCGGTACGAAAAGGTAATTGTCCGGCACAGTTTGTCCGGTAGCATATTAATACAACTATTGGTGAAACTGTCTGCAACTGGCATTAAAAATTTCGTTATAATATTTCAAAATATTTGCATTCCGCATTCAAAAATTATGTGTGTGTCCAAATTTTTTCGCGTATGAATATTCAGATCGACAATATGCCTGTGAAAATGCCGTGGAATTTATATGATTGTTCAATTCCGTATGATATATATTGACTAGTGGCTTAATTGTTGTTACTAAGCTTTTCATTGACCTCTTTTATTTCAAGGACCACGAAAAACTATATTTGCTCTATTGCGTTAATATCTTTTGTGAAGCACAAAATGTCTAGTGTCATGCACCAATCACCAATCACTTAGTCAGGCACCGTTGGAAATTTATTTTCAGGCTTGAGTGTTAGGCACTCAGGTGAAGATATATGTTTGTGATGTTTCTCTGAGTGTGTCAAACACCGGGCAAGCTGAAAAGTTTGCTTGACCGCGGTGGGAGTCGAACCCGCGACCTTT